TCATTCACCTTTCTGGGAAGCTAGTACTAGAAGACTAATATTTAGGCTTTTGTGGTAAGGTATTATGATGTTATCAATTTAAAATAAGACACTAGAGTAGCTATAACCTGGCAATTAAAACTCCTATAAGTGGAGCAAAGATGCAGGTATCAAATACGGCCAGCTTATAGCTAGAGTGCCATGAGCCCCAGGTACCAGCCTTGTGCCGCTGCTCAACTCTGACTGGCCAGAGCTCTGGACTCAGCCCTGCCTCTGCTTCCTAATTTCTACACACAAATAACAATAGCTTGTCACATTTGTTGAGAGTTGGTTGGGAGGATCACAAAAGATCAAAGGGATTAAAGTCCTATGTACACTCTGCTGTTTCATTTAAATCTAAATTAACCATATGCTATGGTTCAGACAAGTGTCCCTTGAAGGCCCACATGAGGAAGGCTTGGTCCCCAGCCTATGGTGCTATTGGGAGGTGACAGAGCCTTTAGGAGGGGTCTAGTGGGAGGAAGTCACGGGAGGCATACTCAAAGAGGATTGCAGGATATTGATCTCTCTCTCTCTCTTTCTTTGCTTCCTGGCTGCCATGAGATACGCAGCTTCCTCTGGCATGCACTCCCATCATGATATACTGCCTTGCCACAGGTCCAGAAGAAATGAGGTCAACCAATCATGAACTGAAATCTCAAAAATTGTGAGCCAAAATAAACCGTTCCCCCTTTCAGTTGATTATCTCAGGTATTTTGTTATAGTAACAGAAATCTAATAGCTAACACACTATATGATTGTTAACAGGAGCATGACCCTAACATTAAGCAAATGTTAACTTTAAAAAAATATATTTTTAGTTGTAAATGGACACAAGATCTTTGTTTATTAATTTACTTTTATGTGGTGCTGAGGATTGATCCCAGTACTTCACATGTGCAAGGTAAGCACTCTACCACTGAGCTACAGCCCCAGCTCCAAATGTTAACTTTTTAATTTGCCCCAATTTCTAAGTAATGTAGGAAGATGCATTTTGGAAGTTAAAATTTAAAAAACTGAAGTAGAAATTATTTCTAATTTTAGATTAATGTTTAAGGAGAAAAAAAAAACAGACTATTTGATGTTCAAAAGCCAGATTCATAGTGGTAACTGAGTATGGGGTAATATCAATATTTCTCAGATATTAAAATAAAATCATTCACTGGCTGGGGTTGGGGCTCAGTGGTAAAGCACTCACCAAGCATGTACGAGGCCCTGGGTTCGATCCTCAGCACCACACAAAAATAAATAAATAAATAAAATATATTGTGTCCAACTACAATTAAAAAATAAATATTTAAAAATAAAATAAATCATTCACATTCTAGTCCCTATGATTTATGAAAAGCACCAAACTGGTTATTTTAAGAAAACTGATGTAATTAATATAGACATAACTTAGTGCCCTTTCCCCTGCTTTCAAGTCACACAGGTGAGGAGGAATGGGAGGCCTGGGCCAGAGCAGTGCAGGAGCCCAAAGGAGGGCTTCCCTGACATTCTGCAGCTCTGCTTGCCCCCATGAGAATGGCAGCACCTCTAGAATTCCTAAACTCTGGGCTCAGATTCCCCAGAAATGGAGTGGTCATGAGGTCATTGGCATAGTTCACACATTAGCGACTGGAAACTGGCTGCTCTGTTAACCCTCTGCAGATTAAAGTCATCCAGAGGAAGGTAGTAATACTTGAAAGCAAGTAAGAATAAAGGGATAATCACTGCAAGTCAGAATAAAGTGATAATCTTTGCTTATTAAGAGCTGGAAATAACTGCATATTGGAACCAGAAAATGGCTGTGTGTCATCTCTTCTAACTCAAAATGCAGGAAATTGAAAATTTCATATACATAAAAGGCTCCCTCCCATTAAACAAATCACCTTTGGTACCATATAATTTATTTTTAACTAAAAGCTAATTTTAAAGAACATATTGATTTCAAAAAAATGGATTTGGATTTCATTTCATTTTCTTTATGGAAATAATACCTGGCCTGGCTTACCTATCACAAATTCCAAATTAATCTCTGGTTAAATCAACTAGGTTTTAACTAGAGTTGAAAGGGCTTCAAGCAAACAATAGAAAATAGAAATATTTGTTCAAAGCACCCTGCTGATTTTGAAGTAATGTGTCTACCTACCTTATGCTTCCAAGAGAAATAATTACAATTGTTGGCAGTAACAGATACAAATTACAATTAATTATATTTGCCTACCTGTTTTTTGAGTTTGCACAATTATTTTTGGTAAGTGAATATAAATCTAGAGATGCCAAATGGTAACTATGTTATCTGTTAGATTCTAAGTTGAAATTATTGCCTATGTTCATAATTATCTTTTAAGATTTGTGAATTTATTCTTTAACATGTGCATAACATTGCCCACCATCCCTTTATTGGACTTACGGAGACCAAAACAAACAAAAAAGGAAAAGGAAAAACATGTCCCAGCAGTATCAAATTCCTATAATTGTTAGCAACAAAAAACAATAATTAAGAGATATAGTTCATAATGATTATCTTGAAATATCTATAAGGTAAAGACATAAGAATTAGGCTCATCGCTCTCATTATCAGATGTCCCTCCTTCTGAAATTTGTTATTAGGATTAATGCTGTGAAGAAGGAGAGTAGAAAGATTAAGTAAAATCTGTCAAAGTCTAAGGTAGTTTGAATTGGGGACTAATTTTGTCTTTTAATTTTGATTTTTTTTTTTTTAATTTGCAGCGTTGGGGACTGAACCCAGGGCCTGTGCATGCAAGGTAAGCACTCCATCACTGAGCTACCCTCCAGTCCAATGGTGATTGTTTTTAATAGTATGGATGACATTTCAGTATGTGTGGGAGCTCTTTCTTCTTCACCTTCGCTCATGATTGCACTAAATAACTAAAATTTTTGTGGCAATAGTCTGTCTCGGCTTGTGGATCTCTTTCTCCTTTACTGCTCCAGGAGATTCATCCCATAGCCAGGTTTGGTTAGAGGAAATAAAGAATTTCTTTGATGAAAGCCTCACTTTAAACTTGTCAGTCAGTCCATGGACCTGATAAGACTTCCAGGGGAGTAACTTACAGCAATCCTAGAAGCACACTGTCATTTTGTGGAGTATGTTTAGGGTATCTCTCTTGAAAGGAGGGACTTCTCCCAAAATGCCAGGGAAGGAATGGTTTTCAGACAGATTTCCTTCTTCTAGTTGGTGTCTAATTCTCAGGCCATTGTAAGGAGGTGGAAGAAGTCAACCTTTGATGCTCTCCTCTGCTCATTGCTCTAATTATCTATTCCTCAGAGTATCTAGAGCTCTGTTGTTGAGTGACAGGGGCTAGAGATAGACATGGCTACTTAGAGACAAGTGGAAATCTAGAAAGTAAGTCATTTCTGCAAGGCCAGTGAGTTAAGATGAACATGCCATATCTTTTCCCCTGGGTTATCCAGAATTAAATGAATTTCTGTATTTATTTCCTTTCTGTTACTCATAATTTAGTGGCTCTCAAATTTGGCCAAGCATCAGAATCAACTTGGAGAGCTTTGGAAACCCAAACATCCTGATGGCCAGCTCCAGAGTTTCTGATTCAAGCAGGTCTGCTGAAGGGATCAAGGCCTGGCATGGCTGACCCGTGTTTAGGTGGTAGTGATGCTTCTAGACTGAGAAACCACTGTTTCTTGAAATGTGGTCCATGCATCAGAATTACCTTGAGACTTGCTAAAGCACATGTTCATGAGGGAGCAGGGGGTCAGGATGACAAATTTTACCCAGCTCCCAAGTGACTCTCATGAACTCTAAAATTTGAGTCTTACTACCTTTCCGCTTAGTAAGGATTTATTTTAGAGTTCCATTCAACCAAGATGAGTTATGTCATTAAGTTCTCTGCTCACCTCTAAACTCAGTGGCAAACACACTGCATCTCAAGTGCCAGCCACATTCTGAGACTTATTCCCTGACTAGCTATGATGTAGGCCATGTTGTGGGAAGGAGCCAGTGGTCACCCATCATTGCTATCCTTGGAGTGAGTGTCAGTGGAGAAAGTGGTCTTTGGAGAACTGATAGAAAACAGCAGGAATAGGAAAAGCTCCAAGGGGAAGGTGACTCTTAGAGAACCCAATTGGGCAGGGTGGTCTAGCTGTCCAGCCTATTAGGAGTTCCTTCCTATACAGCCCCAGCCTAGAGCTTTTTACACTCTCTCCCTGGGCTATGCTGTTGAATAAAGGAAGGACTCCACGTAAACCCTAAATATCTTTGGAGATATTTTAAGAGCTTTCCTAGCTCTCATGAAATCAGATAATAACTACTTTGTGGTCTGCATCATCTAATAATTCCCATTCAACAATTCAAATCATTTAATAAATAACTCCCTTCCACAGTGAAATAGACCTTAAACTTGAGACCAAAACACAATGCCTTTTAATGGATTCACATCAGTTTTAAGACCTAAGAAGGTAAAGGCCGGCCTGAGATGCTCATCCTGTGCACAGGCCCACTCTTACACCACACCTGGCCCACAGCCAGACCGCCAGCCAGGGTCACTACAGTGTTGGTCCCTGCTCCACTCTCCCATTTTAGGTGCTTTTAGCTCCACAATCGTGAAAGAAAACTGAGACTACGGTCAAAAGTGTGTTACACACAGGTTCAGCAAAGAAAAATTGGAAACCCTTCATAAGCCAGCCCTCCAAGCAGATAAATGCCATAACAGAAATTTCTAGACCCTGAAAGATTAGCTTCTGTGGTTGAAATGATAAAAATCGGTGGTGTACTTTCATTTGTGGGTAAATCTGGGTTTCCTGAGTCTCACTGAGTACATTTTTCCAAGCTCAATTTTTTTTTTTTCCTTACAGCCAACATGCTAGACTCTGGTAAATCTGTTCAGCTGCTCTAACATGTTCTAAAATTATAAACCGGAATCCACACCGTCTTAAAAACCTCACGCTCTGGCTTCACACACCCTCTGCTCCTCATGCATCCGAAATAAGGCAATTGCTTGCAGTCTCCTCTGCTACTTTACCTGAGCTGGTGGAGGCAGGGGATTTGCTGCGCCGGGAAGGTCCTGGGCTCTTGGTGGTGCTCCTGCGGGATGATGAAGCTATTTTGGTGTAAGAAGTGGACTTCACCACACGACATTCTGGGGAAAGAACAACAACCGCACATCAGGATTGGGTCACCACACACACGCCATCTTGAAATACACAATAAGCTTAGATGTAGAAATATACACTCTCAGTCATACCTCCTGCCAGCCCAGTGCTTGGCCATGCCAATGGAACCAGGAAAACAACCAGTAAGAACAAGGTGGACTTCTTAGACGTGGAAGTCGGTAATACTTCAAACCTCTTGCTTACCCTCTGTACAACAAGATTATGGATTCACTGGAAGTAATAGGCTGATAAAGGGGTGCTTTCACTGGGTTTCTCTCCACCCACCTTTGAGCTGTCTGTGTATGTGTATCATTTGTAGGATAAATTATTTACTTTTTTTCCAAGAAAAATTTTAGAAGAAAGCAAAATCTCATAAACCAAGAAATGTGATGGAAGCTTCTACCCTACATGATGGGTTCAAGTTTACTGTTCTGGGGGGGGGGGTTCTCATAGGATCATGGTGGGTCTTTACCGTGTGTGGGTAACAGCACAGTTGCTCGTAGAGGTAGCACTGGAGAACAGGTGCTGTTGTTCTGCTAAAGGAATCATGTGCACCTGTGTCTCCCCATGACGCTGCTGCAGAGCTCCACTTTATGTCTATAAAATCATCTTGGACTGAGGATAAGAAACAACTACTTTCATTAGATTTCAATCCTCAGTGTTTGTGTTCACCAAATTCAATGCTAAGTATCCTGAATAGCAAAGAACTTTGTATTTCTCTCTTAGTACGATTCACTGATAAACTTTGCTGTATAAATCCAGGCATCTTATTCTCAAGAAATCACTTAATAATTACAAAATATTTATTAGCTTATAATGATAATCGATGTTCACTATAGATAGAAAAACACCAAGGATATTTTAGAAAACACCCCAAATACTCCACAACCGAGTAATACTCTTTTGCAGGAGGGGAGTACACAAACCTTGAGAAAATTTCCTACTCATTTGTATATTTAAACAACATTGGATTTAATCTGTACACATTCATCTCTCACAAGCCCTTTTTCATACTACAATATCTTGTGAACATTGTCACTCTGTCATTTAATGGCTGCCAAGCATTTCATTGCCTGGGGTACCATAATTAACCAAATTGCTACCATTGGACATTTAACCTTCTTACAATATTTACTATCATAATTACTCAGTAACACTCTTTATACATGAATGGGCAGTTAATTGATTATTTCCTTAGGATAGATTTGGTTCCCTGATACTTGAAACTAGAAACGAAGGGCACATTACGGGTGCTCAAAAACATCTGCTGAATGCTATAGGTTCGGTGGGCTGAAAGAGAAGCACTTTTTAAAAGCTCTTTACAAATTATCCTCCAGAAAGTACTTGATCCAAATCATACTTTCACTACAGCATGAATGACCACTTGCCTGACTCCTCACTGATGTTAGGTGTTATATTTCTAAAGAAAATTTTTATGTGTGTGTGTGTGTGTGTGTGAATTTTTAAACAAATATAAACCTTCATTGCTTAAAATATGAATTGGTTTGATTGCCAGTAATATTGTACATTTTTTCCCACATGCATATTGGCCATTCGTATTTCTCCTTTTGCAATTACTTATTCATGTTCTTTGTGCATTTGCAGTTGAGATGTTCTTTTTTCTAATTGGTTCATATGAAAGCGTTCTACATTAAAATTTTATCCCTTAGTCTATTATGTCATAAATATTTATCTTTGTAGGTAGTTGTTGAAACACGCTAGCCTTTTGAATGTGGTATTCTTTTTAAGTATAGCAGTTTAAAACCTATAGTTTATTAACTTTTCCATTGTGCATTTTTAACCATTTTATGTTTTAGTAACCAAGGACTCTCAATTCCCAATCCACTGCTGATGTCCGACTTCATCTTTGAAGTCCATGCAATTTTTCATTTTCTAAGTTCAAAACATGTTTCTTTTCCTTATCCACGCTATTGAATAAAATAGTTCATATTGTTTAGTAAAAAAAGAATGGAAGACTTGAATAGGAGATAGGACAAAGAGAAAAAGCCCCATGAATTGAATTGAACTGGGGCAAAAAGAAGAGGAAGAATTTCATGAAGGAGGTGGAGGAAAAAAAGAGGAAAAAGGAAAATTCTGCCTTTAGATTTTAGTATTTGTGGTTTCCTCTGCTTTTCCTCATAGCCAAAAGCAAGGAAAAATAAACTAGGGCATTACCACACTTACCCAGATTTCCCCAACAGTCATTTGGGCCACTGTGGCCATTTTGGCCCACCCAGGTAGCCTTGCCAGGAGATTTCATTTCTTAAAGAATAAGAAGGATCATATAGTGGATCCATTTCTAGTTTTTCGAGGAATCTCCATACTGCTTTCCAGAGTGGTTGTAACTAGTTAATCTGCAGTCCCACCAGCAATGTTTGAGTGCACCTTTCTGCTCACATCCTCACCAGCATTTATTACTGTTTGTATTCTTGAAAATTGCCCTTCTAACTGGAGCTAGATAAAATCTTAGTGGAGTTTTGCTAGATTTCCCTAATTGCTAGAGACATTGAACATTTTATCATACAGTTGCTGACCATTTGTTTTTCTTCTTTGGAGAAATGTTATCCAAGAGAACTAAACTCAGTATTCTATAGGGATAGAGCCATCTCAATGTGTACAGCAGCACAATTCACGACAGCCAAACTATAATCAACTCAGATGCCCACCAACAGATGAAGAGATTAAGAATTCTAAATCAATAGAGTTTAACTTAGCCACGAAGAAGAATGAAATTATGGCATTTACCGGTAAATGGATGGAAATGGGAACATAATGCTAAGTAAAATAAACCAGTCTCAGAAAATCAAGGTCAAATGTTTTCTCTCATGTGGTAACTGGAGCAAAATAAAGGATAGAAGGATAGAAAGTCATATCATAAAGATCTAAGAAAAATCAGTAAAGTAGAAGGAGACTGAGAGCAAGAGCGGAGGGCTGGAAAAGGGGAGGAAATGAGAAATGAATTTTTAAATATCATGTTATGAGCATATATAAATATGCCACAAGGAATTTAACCTTCATATATAATTAGAAATAACCAATCAAAAATAAATAAATAGATGAGTGAAAAGAAGATCAGTAGAGCAGAGGAAGTAGAATGAGAGAAGGGAGAAGGGGAGGGAAAAGTGGAGGGACATGAAATAAAATCCAATTCCATGTATGTTCAAATTTATTGAGATGAACCAAACGACTACATATATATAACTATAATACTGCAAAAAAAAAAAAAGAAGAAGAGTCACATACAGGGGCATATTGGCAGAAATTTAAAGATGAATAGCCAAGAACAGAATTAATAATGCAGAAGCTATGATCAGAAACCCCAGGACCATCCACATGGAACAATAATGCCTACAGATGTGTCCATGAGATTTTAATTCAGAAAGCAGAGCTCTGGAACATATGAAGGTGACCTTGAATAACCTCAAGACACTTTCCTGACAACACATCCTGGGGTTTGTGCGACATTCTGGATATTTGACCAGCCTTTTGGCATTATGTTAAAAACCAAACTGAATGGCCATAATGGGGCCCATCCATGGGCATGCTGCTGGTTACATTTTCATCAAATGCCCACCATGTGCCAGGCACTGAGAGCTGCAGGCAGATGCAGAACAATTCAAAATTGGAACCTGAAACATACACCACCTGGTAGTGGTGCACAGAGTCTCTCTGGGTGGGTGTGAGTGCCAGCAAGCCCTCTTTTTTTGCTAATTTTTATTTCATAAACCTCACATTTGAAAAATGTTAGTTAGTGTAATGAATTGTTCTTAAGTAACAATAGAGTTTCTCATATTAAATAAAAATGAAGACAATAACAAGGGCAAGATGACCAGAAGATTTTGTCTCAGGTCACGGATATTTAGAGGTCACATAAATTTAAAATAAATAATTTAAAAAGACCAGTGTCTGGTTAGTGGGAATGAGTAGTTAAGACAGAAAGGTACCAGATGGCTCCCATTGTTAATAACAGTCATCTCTGGACTGCAACGTGAGTTAAGAAGTTGATTTTAGGGTTTATCTCATAGTCACAGGTGCCAGATTGCTAGTTGCAGCCAGGGCTCTAGATCAGCATAGTAAAACCAATCTTGCCACACTAAGTTAGTATTTTCTAACTACCAGAAGGATACTAGTAATTGTAGTCAGGAAGCTCAGGCTACATTAGCAGAGCAAATGCAGTTATTTCATTAGATTTCTGAAGGATTAAAAAGGACTTGGGGGCTCATGCTGTGCCTCTATTACAACCGTGGCTTGTGGCTTCTTTTGAACTTAGTTCTCATCATACTATTAATTGATCATCATTACTCATTTATTAGTCGGCCTCCCATTCCCTCTGTCCATAAGGTACCAACTAGTGCCTGGAATATTAACAAGTTTGGGACAGCTGCTCAGTAAGTGTTGGTCTGAATTGCTATTGGCCCTCTTACTATGTGTGAACTCTTGAGCATTCACTGAACGAATCCAATCTTTCACTTTAATGATGAGGAAACTGAGTCTCAGAAAGGCTAAATGACTTGCATCAGAATCTATGTCCCATGAGCTGGTGGCTTTCTCCTTACCCCGACAGCTGAGGTTGTGGCCTAAACATGCCGTTCCACGTGAATAAAGTCTGAGACATTTCTATCAGTGTCCATGGTCTGAGGCCGATGAGTGGGTGGTGGTGGACCACGGCAAGGATGGCAAACAACGATTTCTCATATCAACAGTCAATTAAAAATGAAAGATGCTGAAACTAAACTTTCTATCAGGATGTGCATTGGATCAGAGAAAAAGAAACAATGAACACTTTCAGAAGTGGAGCTATAATGAAGTAATCACTTGGGGGATCATGGAGTCTGAAAGATAATTACAAATATTACAAATCTTGTACCACTTGCCTTCAGGGTAAGAGTGAGGCTTCATGATTCATATTAGGGATTAGTAAAATTCTGAAAGTCTTGGGATGAATAACAGCAGCAGAAACAACACAGAATTATAGTAACCACTGTTT